TTAAGAAGACCTACCATAGAAAAATTGTCCCGCCTTGTCTCCGTGGCCGAACTGAGAGAGGGCACAACTTCGTTCATAGAAATCTGTCGGATTAAGAAAAATCCTTTCCTAAATTTTATTTATATATATATATATATATATATATATATATATATATATATATATATATGTGTGTGTGTGTGTGTGTGTGTGTGTGTAAAATACATAAACAGTTAATGGTCAAAGTTGAATAAGACCAGAAAACAGAATATTAAAAAGTACTCAATACACGTGTGAAAAGCAAAAATAACTTCTAACTTTAACAATCAGAGGTGATTTGAATCGGCTGTACATTTCAGTTAGCCCCCACCCAACGTTACATTTACAATACCCTTGCTTTTCTCCTCTTCCCCCTTCTTCTTCTTTACACCCTCCTCCTCCCTTTCTATAACACCCGTTTCTTTATTTATGTTTAAGGTTGAAACCAAGGTAGCAGATTCAGCCGAGCTTCTGATTTTAAAATATATATATATATATATATAAAAGACATTTTTATATTTATACGTTCTTTTTATAGATACAAATATTTAAGTAAATGCTCTGTTTATAATAAACAGTATTAAACAACATTTACCGGCCTGAATGTCTGAGAAATTTTCACAGAAAATATTCGTCTTCTGACAGAATTCGAACCTGTATCCTACATGGAACAGTCATTTAGCTTGACGTGCCTTTACTGATTTGGCCACAGAGGAGCGTTCCTTTAGCAAGGTACTGTATTTAAACTTCAAACTTCCATGAATCTAACAGAACGCTTCTCTGTGGCCAAATCGGTAAAGGCACGTCAAGATTATGTTTTTCACGCCCGAATTTAGCCAACGTCGTGCCTTAGATAACGCTAAACAGTTGAAGGCACATGAATATACTCTGGCCCGGGTGGAAGATGTTGGGTATCCCCTAGATATACCCTTAGATAGACGGGCTCTGGAGCGAGCGTCTAGCGAGGTCTATCAAGTTCAGGTAATTAGACATAGATTAAACCAAATTTATAATGAACCCGTGAACATGGGCGTAGAATTGTGCAGGAAATAAATTCTTCGAGGTTCCTATAATTACATTCGGCAGCTCGATAACCCGGATGGGTGTCACCGGCACTCGACCAACAATATGTGAGAGGAGTTTCGGCAGCATTTCCTGAACTAGGTTAACAAGAGTCCTGGTCTCTGTGATGAGGAGTTTCGTAGCTATTTGGCCGACTTCCCTCGATCTCGTCGACTGAAGTTTGCTGGGTGCTCGCGGGTGATCACAGAGAGCGAATCCACGAGACATTGAAAAGAGTCAGCAGTGGCATGTCTTCGGGACTTGATGATGTGACCTACGAATTGTATTTGAGGATGTTGCATATGTTTATTCCGATTTTGACAGTAGTGTTCATAATTGGTAACGGCCGCATCTTTCACGCTGTTGAAAAAGGACAAGCATATTGGGCGCGATTTAGACCACCACTGGTCCATAACTCTGCTATACACTGTGAATATTTAGGCCATGATCCTTACGGAGTCTTCGCTGTAAGTTGTCGAGATTCTGTTGTGACCGCAGGAGATTTGTGCTGCGAAGTGACAGACAATTCAGAGCGACGTTCATCTGATCCACGTAATCTTTGAGGGTGTACAAGACGTAGACGACGAAGTCATGCTACTCAGTTTGTATTAGGTTGGTGCGAAAATAATGACGTAATAATGTCGTTTTTGACTTTAAAAATAAGTTAAAAACGACATTATTACGTCATTATTTTTGCACCAACCTAATATTAGTCCAAAGCGTTTATCAGGGTCGACCATTGGTACCTGGCGGCTGTTCTGCAGGTCGCCGCATTTCAACTCGAAAACTAAGTGATTCAGCCTACTGTATAGCTCCCCCAGGGGTATAGTAAAGATGAACAGAAAGCGGTAGAGCGATTTTGCACAGTCAGCGTCGGATCGTCAGGGTCTGTCAGTTGTTGCCCTACTTTACGTTTTGGCGTTGGAGCGACTACTATACCGGCTGAGGGACAGGACGTCCACTCCAGCCCTGCGCGGAATCTGAGTCCCTGGTGGAGCTTGAGACAAAGTTTCAGCGTATCCATATTTATGTCGTGCCAGGGAGACATTAAGTTGGTGCAGAAAGCCCGTGAACGCTACGAGAAGATCATGGGAGCCAAGATTAACCGTAACAATTCTTCTGGTTTGCGGTAGTTCTTGGAAGGTCGTTGCTGTTCTGGGGTCGTTCAGTTGGACTGGCGGTTCCGTCCGCATTTTTTAAATGCTTCCGGCCGAATCTTCAGCTAGAGAAGAATTGGCTCGATGTACAGGTAAGTGTAGTTGACCTTAAAGTGTAGTGCTGAGGTGTGCTGCATATGTATTTTCCCTCTCACATCCTTTAAAGTATATCAGTACCCCCTCACTGCAAGGACCGTCGAAATGTGATAGAACGCACATTTTTCTCCCTCTTGTGTGTGCGTGTGGGGGGCGGCAAGCATAAGGTCTGCAGAGCAGTATGTTGACGGCATCGGTGCCATGGGGGTCTGGTGAGTCCCCAACACTCATTGATATTGATTTACCTACAGAAGAAGGAGTGTTAAGGATGCCTTCTCTAGCTTTATCATTCCTTCCCGTTACGGGTGTTGAGCGCTGTCATATACACTGGAATCAGTCTAAATTCTGCACTGACTGGCTACATCTCGGACCAGTGACCTTTCACGGTTTAGGAACGCGTTGTATCGAGTACTAGTGGAGGGGTTCGCGCAGGACCGACCCTGTGAGCGGCTCGGCGATTGATCCAGAACGCTTTATTTCTCAATGATGTGGCTTTCAGAGCGGGCTTGTCAGATATGACAGATTGTAATCGATATCATTTTGCATTCGAGGAAACAGCTGTGCCCTTCTTCCATTGTACGCAGGTGCTCTCGTTCTGGGATTATGGCTGCGAGTGTCTTGACGGCCCGTATCGTGTTTCCTACATTTCTAGCCGTGGAGACAGGGAATGTTACGGCCCGAACATTTTTCTCATCAGGTTCTTATTGGATCCTTTGGGCATCGGTAGAACTGATTGAAAGCTTTTGCTTTCGCCATAATTTAGGGAAAGGTGGTTAAAGTCACGAGATTGGTTTGTATGAATGTAGCCAGCCTTCGTTTCAGTGTTTAGTCTGCTAAGACACAACGGTGCTGATTCCAGACGGACTCCTACCCTGATTAAGCTAGACTCCTTTTGTTCACCTTGTTGATGTGAGACATTCCGGTCTGCCCAGGGTAATCATCTTTTGTTATGGTCCTTATCAAATTTCCAAATCTCTTCAATTTCTTTTTATCTCTTCTTTTTCTTTTGAGTGGATCAGCTGTTTATATTGAGCCACCCCGAATTTTATTTTGTCCCTCCCTCACATTTAGAGAGTAAACATCTTGATTCTGCCTACGGACAGAATACAGCATCTGCTCTTAATTTTATGTGAGGTGAACGGTTCTTTCATTTATATAATTTCATTTTAGTTTTGTTATTTTCATTTCATGGGTTTACCCTTCATTTCCTGTTATTATTGTATGAAAGTTATACATCATTGTATAAAATTATATATTACTGTATGAAAATTATATATTATTGTATGAAAGTTATACATTATTGTATGAAAATTTTATATTATTGCATGAAAATTATGTATCATTGTATGAAAATTTTATATTATTGCATGAAAATTATGTATCATTGTATGAAAATTATATATTATTGTATGAAAATTATACATCATTGTATGAAAATTATATATTATTGTATGAACATTATATATTACTGTATGAAAATTATATATTATTGTATGAATATTTTTACATTATTGTATGAAAATTTTATATTATTGCATGAAAATTATGTATCATTGTATGAAAATTATATATTATTGTATGAAAATTATACATCATTGTATGAAAATTATGTATTATTGTATGAAAATTATATATTATTTTCTGAAAATTATACATTATTGTATTAAAATTATATAATATTATATGAAAATTAGGTATTAATGTATGAAAATTATATATTATTGTATGAAAATGTGGGGTTATAAAAAAATCACATTTGTACATATCGAACATTTTTAGTCATTGGAATTTTTTGAGTAGATTCTCCGTGAATATGTTGTATTTTGGTAAATGATGGTTTAGTTGAAGAAGGATGAATTCTTATGGTGAATGAGTCAATTGTAAGCATGAATGGGTAGTGAATCAGATTAGCTAGGTTTAGGATAATCTGAGACGACTAGACGTACATCACTTTCCCTAAGGTCTTGTGCCACAAACAGGTATTTTCATGTTAGATAAATTATACAATCACATTGTAGTACATGCTCCATATGCAGACAGTCAGCCCACGTCTCCAGCCTACAGTTGACGCAAATCCAGCCAGCCATAAGCTGCAGATTCCGCTTGACATCGGACGCCGCTCCACTCAGCCAGCAAGATATTCTCCAGCAGGCCACCAGCTCCCCTCATCCAGCCCTTCTCTAGCAGTTCCCCAGCTTCAGCCATCCATTATTCTCCAACAGACCAGCAGTTTCTGGCAGCCATCCAGCCATCCTCTAGAAGACCACCAGTTCCAGCCAGCCATTCTCCAGTAGGCCACCATCTAAAGTCAGCGAGCCATTTTCCAGCGCGCCACCAGCTCCAGCCATTGTACAGCAGGATACCAGCTCCAGCCATTCTCCAGCAGGTCACCAGCTACAGCCACCCTGCCAGCCATTCTCTAGCAGGCAACCACCTCCAGCCAGCCAGCCATTTTCCAAGAGGTCACCATTTCCAGCCCACCAGCCATTCTCCAGCGGGATACCATCTACAGGCAAGCAGCAAGACATTCTCCAGCAGGCCATCAGCTCCAGGCCATTTTTGAGCAGGCCACCATCACCAGCCAGCTAGCCATCACCCAACAGGCCATCAGCTCCAGCCATTCTACAATACGACAGCAGATTCAGCCAAACAGTCATCCTCCTGTAGGCCACCAGTTCCAGCCATCCAGCCATTTTCTATCGGGTCACCAGCTCCTGGCAGCCATCTAGTCATTCCCCAGCAGGACACCAGCTCCTGGCAACCATCCAGCCATACTTTAACTGGCCACCATCTACAGGCAGCCAACCAGCTATACTGCAGCAGGCCACCATCTCCAGCCATTCAGGCTTTCCCCAGCAGGCCACCAGCTCCTGGCAGCCATCCAGCCATACTCTAAGAGGCCACCATCTACATGCAGCCAACCATCTATACTGCAGCAGGCCACCAGCTCCAGCCATTCAGGCATTCTCCAGCGGGACACCAGATCCAGCCAACCAGTCAATCTCCAGCGGGCCTCCAGCTATAGGCAGTCATCTTCCAGCAAGCCACAAGCTCTAGGTAGTCATCTATCCATTCTCCAACAGGCCAACAGCTTCTGCCATTCTCCAACAGGCCAGCCACCTGTTCTCTAGCAGGCCACCAGCTCCAGCCATCCTGTCAATCTCCAGCAGTCCACCAACTCCAGCTATCCATCCATTCTCCGGCAGGTCGCCAGCTCCTACCATTCAACAGGCCACAAGCTACAGACAGAGATCCCCGTCAGCAGAAATTATATGCAATAAATTGTTTTTTTTTTCAGTTATATTTTTCTTTGATGCACCGTACACTTATTTTTGTTCATATATTTTCTTTAACAACAATAAACTTGGTAATATATATTTTTTCACAAGTCTTCGTATTGTCTAATTTTTCTTCCGTCATTCAATATCTGCTTGCAGGTCAATATATACCACCTGAAACAAGAGCGCATCATTTGGCATGATCAATATATGATCATTCACAGGTTATCATGTTCCATCCGTGTTGAACGGTGGATAACTTTGGTGATCATTACATTCAAACTATTTTCCGAAGATTACTCAGAGTAGGTTAACTTGCACGGGACTCATGTGGTGGGCATTATTCTACAGAAAGTGCGCGTCACTTACCCGTTACGGCAGAGCGATTAAACAATGTTTTCAACGTACACGCCGCTGTTTGAAGTTATGTCAAAAATCGATAAAGGTGTGGGTTTAACTTATGGGACCACACACATTGATGTCACGGGTTTGTGTCTGAGTATCATGACAGAATGGCCAAATGCTCGTCATCTGCATGAAGGCAGAAACGGCTCTCATGTTTGATCATCACAGAGTGCCATTTGGTGATCATCCTGACTCTCTCTGGAGATTTGCCTCACATACATACAAACACCCACGCACTCACACGCACTCACACGCACTCACACGCACTCACACGCACATACACACACAAAGTACGCAGAGTAAATCTGCTTGGCACAGATTGACGTTGAAGACGGTCGCAAATAGACATTAAATATTAACGTTCTCGTTAAAGTCTGTTGCTTATAATAGTACTTGGAAGGAAAGTGTGCAGAGTGTGGTCATCTCATCAGACATAAGATCAGTCAGCACAGTTTGGGAAGCAGTTTTTGGCCAAATCAAATACTTCCCAGATCCGACAACCACCATATTACCAAGATCTCAGCCCATGCGACTATTTCCACTTTCCAAAAAACAAATCCCACTTGAAAAGTTTGAAGACGCTGAGGAAATCCAAGACGATACGACGAGATAGCTGGTCGCTATCCCCTAAAATATATACACACTTTTTGTGGGTGTATAAGTGTGTAGGCGTATATGTGCGTGTGTATGTGTCCGTGTGTGTCAAACTGAGGTCATTAAGGCCTGTGACTTCGTCCCCCGGTCGCAGCGTCGACTGTGTCGTTCGATCCCGGTCGCGGCGCCAATTGTGACGTCACGTGCTCCCCATGCTCTGATATCCTGGTCACGGACAGCACCAAGTGTGACGTCTTCGCCGCGGCGTCAGCTGTTCGCTCCTCGCTGCACTAAACGTGACGTTCTAACCCTTTGGTTAGATTGATACCAGCCTCGCCGTTCCCAACCCGCTTCCAACGCCTGGTTACCAGGGTAACTGCACTGATCTCCAGTCTGCCTACCCACGTTGTGAATTGATCTTAGACAGACGAGATCAAACAGGGGTTGGGGCCGTAATGCAAGTTGAGTCCAACGGGGGTGATAACACACAATTATGTATAAAAGTAAAGAAAATAAAAACTCACAAGGTCCAACGTATCAAAGAAAAAGATAACAAACTTTTTATGTCTAATTGCTCGGTACATAGGACTATGTCTACTTCCCGACCCGTTCTGTGGATTGTGGCACGACGCTTTTACTAGGCAACTAGGCTTCAAGTTGTCTGCTCTCTAAGAAATTTGTGTTTCGGTGTGTCTTTGGACGAAAGTCGAAAAAAAACTTATTTCTGTGGTCTGATTCTAAGTCGCTCTTCAAACTACTTGTTCTTGGTTGAAGAAGAGTCCAGAAGTGTGCGCGAATCTTGGTCAGCTATCTTGACGCGGTTTCAACACTGGGCGCTCATCTCTGCTTGTCGTCCAAGGTTCAAAACTTCTCTTTCGCCGTCCGCGGCTGAACTCAAACTTCTTCTCTTCAGAGTCTGAATTACTGGTCACTCATCTCCGCCGTCGGTGCGCGAACTAACTTCTTCTCTTCGGCTTCTGAATTACTGGTCACTCATCTCCGCCGTCGGTGCGCGAACTAACTTCTTCTCTTCGGCTTGGGTCGGACGAACTTCTTCACTTAGGCCAAACGAACTGGCCTCTCCTGCCCGCAAAGTGGGCGACCGAACTCGTGCCGCCGTCCGCGGTTCCACTCCGCTTGCCGTCCGCGGCTGAAACTCAAACTGATTTCTGTCTGGTGGGGCTTCGTTTTTATTGACGCCGTCTTAACTGGGGTGGGTCTGTCGGCACCTGGGGTTCTTCGATAATTCTAAATACGTATCCACCCTTCTTATTTCTGGTTAGGGATTTTTCATTCTTTTCCATTTTCGGTAACTCACTCTCACTCCCACTCCCTTACTGTGCCTCTGAGGAGCGTGTATCCGCTTCCCCGCTTCTTCGTATCGGCTCCTTACACTTACACTTCTGACAGGGGCGTCGACCGATTCTCCTCGTGCGTCACGTGACCGCTGTCGGCCAATGAGGTCCTGGTCTGGTATCTTTCCTCCTCCTTCGTGTGTCATGTGATCTTATTTAGCCAATGACGTCTTTAGTCGGGCGTGGACAATCCGTGGCTTTGTTTTGGGAAAGAGATACCTTGCTTAAAAAACAAAAATATTCATTCAAATCGCCCTTATCATGAGCGACTGAGATGACACTCTTGGCTTTCCAACACGTGGTATTTGTCAAGCAGTTTATCGCTAATTGGATATGATCTAAGAAAGGAATTTCTCAGACTCATTGGCGTTTCTGAAATGGAATAAAAATATTTCAATTTTCCTCCGCTCGAAGGTCTGATAATAAAAATCTTCATTATCTCAAAAAAATTTTGCAGTGACCACTTTGTGTGGGCTTTTTCTAATTCTGGAGACTGTCTATGTTTTCGTATTAATGGTTTGTCTTCATATCCTTAGATACACTTCCCCACCCACTTAGACCTTTACTATCATTCCAATGACACACTTCCCTTGGTACTTATCAATATTTTCATTGTCCCTAAACTTCGTTTCTTCTTTTCCTCTTGGGTGACAAACCAATTGATAACAACTTCCATTTTCGTGGATTCCGCGGAAATCGGTCAGATGCTTGACCCGGATATTTTTCGACACCTGCTATCTGTCAGCCGTGCGTGTGTGTGCTCGCCTATGACCTGTTTTCGTATTATTTTTTTCTTCTTTCTTCTTTCGTTTTCTTTTCTTTCTTCCAGCTCGCTTGAATGTAAAGAAAGAATTATTCTTAAAACCCAAAATATTTTTTCGGCCTTAAATAATTATTAAATGGTTGATAAACCGTAAAAAACAAATCATATATCTATGAATATTTCTCTCAGCTCGTCAGGTATGCATGGTGTCACAATCCTTACATCATTTAACATGCACCATGCATTTGTCTCATGCAATTCTATACTACTTTCTTACATGCAGTGTAATGTTCTCTTTTAACTTCTTTTGTTCTACATGCAAATGTTATGTTCCTTTTTTTTTTTCATCTTCTTCTGTTCTACATGCAAAGGTAATGTCCTTTTCATCTTCTTCTGTTCTACATGCAACTGTAATGTTCTTTTTTCATCTTCTCTTGTTCTTCATGCAAATGTAATATTCTTCTCATCTCCCTTTGTTCTACATGCAAAAGCAATGTTCTTTTCGTCTTCTTTTGTTCTACATGCAATGTAATGTTCTTTTCATCTTCTTTTGTTCTACATGCAAAAGTAATGTTCCTTTCGTCTTCTTTTGTTCTACATGCAAATGTCATGTTCATTTTTTTCATCTTCTTCTGTTCTACATGCAAAGGTAATGTCCTTTTCATCTCCTGATTCTTCCTTCTGTTTAGAGTCCTCGCCTTGGATGTCTTTAATACCTCTCGACTCTATGTCTAAATCTCTCCTGTTCCTTATCCTTTCCTCGAGCTGGGAAAGGGGTATTTGATCCTCCTCCTCCCACTCGCTGGGCCCTTCGTCCTGTTCAGGGTGCCTCTTTTTAGAGCCCTCGACTGCTTGATTGGATCTCCTCGTTTTTTTCTTCCTTTTCTTTGGACATGGGGGTGCGATGGCGACCTCACAGGGTTTTTTCTGCACCGATTCAGTCGACGACTGAACATCTCTAATCCCCGCTGAGGGTTCCAACTCCGTCACTCGGATCACTTCGTCTATCTGGCCAAGTCGACCTATCTCCTCATCTTCTTCGGAATCTTCTTCAGTCTCCAATTCTTCTGGTTCAACCAGAGTTACCTTCCTTGTGCTTGTCTTCTTAGGCCTCGGCTCGCTCATTTCCAGGTTAGCTATTTCAGCCTTCTTCAGATCATTGGCATGAACCCTCCTCGCTCGTCCTGCCACTTGATCCCATATTACATATGATACTGGACCCGTCTGCTCTACTATCCGGTAGTACGGTTCCCATCTCCGGTCCAGTTTTCCCTCTCTCTGGTGGATTTTATAGTAGACAGGGTCTCCAACCTTCAATTCTACTACCTTTCTTTCAGCATTCACTCTCTCATTTCTTTTCTTCTGGGCCCTCTTTATTCTTCTTCTGGCCTGTACAAACATTTTATGTTGTTGTTCCAGCAATAGTTGATGATGATATTCTCCCATATACTTCCTTCAGGGCTTCAGTAGGTTATCCACAGGCAGGACCACGTCTCTGCCAAACAACAAAAAGTAAGGAGAAAATCTGGAGGTTTCGTTTATCGTAAACCTCACGGCCGCCAGAGCCTGCGTCAAATACAAGTCCCAATTTCCAGTGTTCTCCCTGACCAGCTTGGCCAATACATCTCCCAAGGTTCTATGAAACCTTTCCACTTTAGCATT